ATGGAGTATGTTGCTCTCACTCATAAGCAATTAAAATGTTCAACAGTTTGCAACGTATTTGGTCCCCCACCCTGCACAAGAGTGAGCTGAATGCGTCCAGAGTCCATTAATCTCTGTTCGGATGGTACATGACGTATTGCTTATCGGCAATCCGGCCATGGGACCATGGGGACATGATCAAATGTTATGAGTTACAATGGCATGATTGAAGTATGCTGAAAGGCAGCTTGTTTGTCAATTTCGATGTCTTATCATGTGTTATATGGGACTGTTTAAACATTATTCATTAGCCTTTTTGGAACTTGTAGCCAATGAAAAAACCATATGCTTGTAGTAAACCGAAAGTATAATAATACATGGTTGTCATCTACGGCTCAACAATTCTTTGGTTAGTAAATAAATGTGAGAGCAACCCAGAGACTCATCCATTCCTGTAATTTATATGCAGTAAGCCATTTATCTGCTGCACAATTGGCGGTTTCACTTGCCCCGAACTGGAATCCTCACACTCAAAACGCGGTTCGTTATGATTTGGTAGCTTTTGACAACCACTTGTCGAAGACGAAGCAGTTGGAATAAGCTCCAAATAGAACCACAATCGCGAACGATAGTTAAGTAACATGTCATTTTTAATGCTGACCAATTGTAGTTTTCTCCAGGCTATTTTTACCCTTATTTTAATCAATTCCAACGACTTTTCTGGAACTCTATTAGATTTCGCTTTGTAAGCCAAAAGAAATGGAACAGATTTTAACTACTGCAATCTGAATGCAGCAAAGTCCTTAGTGATCTTCAGCTCACTTGGTTTCGGAGATCCTGAACCGGGTACATTTTCGATCATGCTTCTCTTCGATCACGAACTGTTTTGTTTCTGAACCTCGATTTCTTCGTCTGGCATAAATGAAGATGTTTGAAAGGGAACTGCGGTTTTCGCAGTGTCAACCCACTTAATCAGGAATGCGCTTTATTTACTTTACGTTATGGTTTATACATGCCTGTGTGCGCTCACATGTCTTGAAATTAAATCATACAGTAAGAGAAACGTTTTAATAATCACATCCGGAAATTAATTTGTGTGCGAAGCAAATGACATGTGAACTGAAAATTCAGAAAGCACTATACAAATGTTTCAGATAGATGGAGTCTCATAGGCTGTCAATCCATTGACCCAGGTGGAGCTCGAACCCGGAGCTTTCCGGTAGAATTCAAACAAAATATCCATTTGATCACTGGATAGGTTACCGTCTAAGAACGATACACTGCAATGTATCTGTGTAAGCTTGGTGCGGCTCTCCAATCCCGGTCATCTTAACATTCCCCTTAAGGGGTGTGATTCAGTTAAAAACATTTAAAACTGGACTACTCGGTTAAATTTAGCAATAGAGTATTCAATTCGATTTTTGTTGAACTTTCTTAGGAATAAAAATGCGTACACTATGGTTATTCTCCAAGCGGTTTGTTCTGGTTCGACCGTAGCTCGAGCGCAATCGACTATAATACGGTCATTCTGTATATCGTCGAAGAGACCATTGAAAAACGCGTAGCGAAGTGCGAACCCCGAAGTCAGAACGATATTGATCCGCAATGCGTACGGTACTGTTCATTCCATTAAGTGAGTCAAAGAACAACGTACCTCAATAATACGACTCAGTCGCTATACAGCTAAGAAGTGGGTTCAAACAAATGGGTACAGACCTGATATAAAGGCAAAAAATTAAATATACAAAGAGGAAACATGAATACGTTTTTGTTCAAGCAAGGGATTCTGTTCACCAAACGCGAATAGCCGGTAATTGAAGCCAGCTATGCACTCGCAAAGAGCAAGCAACGAATGAGGCCACAGGGCCAGTGACGGGGTACAGAGGGACTGGGGCAGTGACACAACAAAGTCAAGTAAGAACAAAGAGCAATTATTAGTCCAAGGACAATGACATTGCTGGGTAAACACCCAAAGTCAACGGACACGAGAACGGTTCATTGATCAATCGTAGACACTGATTAACACGAGTGATCACGCGGTGATCAAGGTCAAATCAGGAATGATGCAAGAGAAAGCGTGCACGTAGGATCGGAAAAGGAGTATTTGGGAGGGGACACGACAGTTGTCTTGTCTTGGGCTGAGAAGAGGGATTTTGATCACGCTGTGGTTTCTACAATTATTCATTTCATCTTATTTCTCCCTTAAAGTCAATTGAATAACAGTCCTTATGTGGAAGATTGGATAAGTTCAATGCGAAACGTCGTTCAATTTAGCGGTTGTTCCTGCTCATTTTGTGGCAATCGAATCCGATTTGTTTTTGTCAAATCAATGAATACCCGTGCGCCGTGCAAGCCTTTCACTAAAAAAATAAGATTTCCATCTCACTCGAATATCTCTTGACGAGCTATTTTCCGTTAAGTATTTTATTTCACCCTTGCTTTTCATTCGGATAATTTTTATTGACTGTTAAGTGCTATGTGCCAATACTCGTTAGGTGAAACAACACCCAAACATTTATCGAAAAAAAAACTTCCGAGGTTTCTAGAAGATGAATAATATGTATCTCTATATTTTGACCTCATCTATGATTGTCTACCAATTCAAATGCACCTGTGGTGCAACTTGTGTGGGTCGAACGACAAGGCAGTTATCTCAACGGATCAAAGAACACGATCTACG